GTTCATGTTCCAATGAGGTGGGGGAGGACACTGTTGAGGGAGATTTTAATTTATGCGCCCCAACAAACAGTAGGGAGCAGGAACTGCTATGCAATGCTTTATCTGCGACCAGAGGGGCAGTCCAAGCTCTCCTATCTCATCTGCTTCTGGGGGAAACTAGAAGTGAAGCGTTAAGAACGAATTCCACGGAACCAGGAAGGACTGGCGAGTCATTGTCAAGACGAATTATGATTTTAAACTACGACAACACAAAGGGTGTGTTACGCGGACACTCTTGAATGACCCCTCAAGCGTCTCGATGTGACCCGACGGTTTTGGGAGGCTTTCCCAGAAAATGAGTTTGCGCGGTCTATGCCGTTTAAGACGAAGTCTGAATTTTAGAAATCAACCAAATGCTAGAGGCCAATGAGAAATGAGAAGTTTCATTCGAACGATGACGAGGCAAGCAGCATGAGCAAAAATGATGGCAAACACTACACACAGTGGTGAAACCTTCTTAACAGTCTCACTTGAGTCCGTATATTACGGTCCACGACTGAGCAAAATTTATCTGAGTAAATTAATGTGCTATTTCGTAGGGGCGTACAGGCATGGTAAAGCTTCGTGGGTTTTACGGACTGTATTGCTTCATCAATGCAATCCATGCTTCGAACCACGATCATGCAAAAACAGACTAGAATCCAATGCTACAAGAAATCTGGGGATTAAACTTCTAACCTACTGAGGGGACTGTAAATACCAAAGCCGTTTAGATGTTTACAACACTCCTATCGGGGCAGCCGGCTTGTTGTTGTATCGGTATATTGAGCGAAATAATTCGGAACGTTTTTTCGAAAACCGTCCTTTAGGTATTACGAAATACCATAAAGAGTTTGAATACCCATCCTCGTCCGTTTCCCAATCGATAAAGTGCGATCTACAGTCGAAGGAACAATAAATTCAGTAGAATTAAAGCTCATCCACAAACGAAAGAAGACTAAACCATGGCGTATTTTTATAAAAACTAGCTGACACATCGGTATCTTACGGTGAGCTTGATATTAGCCTGCGTGTATTTTGGATGTTTTGTTCGATAAAAACTGTGTCCCATTGGGTTATTGCAAGTGTTAGCCGAAATGCGTTGAATCTACTTTGCCATTATTTGCTGGCATACAGGCCTACCAACGTACAAGCTGTGTCACTCCCTTGTCCTGCTCTCAGCATCCGTCGACGTCATAGCCAGGCAGTATTTTGTTCTAGCATACCCGTAATTCCCAAGCATTTGAAAATGATTCACGGCAAGAGTATGATTTATGGCCGGGGTTATTTCATCCGGGGAGCAATTGTGTTGAAAGAAAATCACTGCCGATATTTATTTGTACGCTCCGGCGGAAGAAATAAAAAGACCCGCGGTGGCTGTTGCAGAAGATTTAAGATATTCATCGGAGTAAAAAGACGACAGTACAATACCCTTTTGACAGTGCTCGCAAGGGGACATTAAATTCGTCTACTAATATTATTAAATGGTAAAAATAGTTTCCCTTTTGGTTGGGGGCAATGTGGAGAATCAAAATTTCTGATACCAAAAAGTTCTTAGATGTTCAGCTCTTTTGCCCGACATAAATGGTCCCCGGAGTAAGTAACCCCGACCATAAACCATACCCTTGCCGGGTGGGCTTCATAATGTCATATCAGCGTAACGTTTGTCGTAATTGTTTCCATGCATTGGATGTCGTGCCTGAAAACTTTGCCGACAGGCAGGATAGCCCGATTTTCGTTAGCGCCTAGGCGTAGACCGCGAAAGATCCCTTCACTGCGGGGCTCACTGATCTCTCAATTGCTAGAGATTTGTGAGGACTCAGTGAAGACTGGGTGGTGAAAAGACGGGGTTCGGATTGTGTGTTACGTGTTGATAGGTCGTTGCATTCACGTCCACCTTCCATCTGCTTCTCTGGATATCCAAATATGGTGACATGGAGAGGATAAGGGTACAGTACGTGACCTATCTCATGAAATGTTGGCTGAAATTCTGAAATGTGCTTTCGATTAGGAAGGATTACTTGGTCGTGTTTGTGAGTCTGATTATCTTAAGGCATACTCTTATAACATTTCGGACTCGGCAGGATGTCGGCTTTTAAATGCACTTCTTCTCAACCTCCTGTAGAAAGCGCGCTCGGCAAAAAATGACTACTTATGTAGCATGCATTTTTCCCATTTATTTTCGATGGTCTTGGAAATTCATATATATTTTATAGAAACCATGAATAAAAAGATGCTTTCTTTTCATCAATCAATAGAAAATCACGTCTTCTTTATATTTTATACTTAAGGAAGGAGTATGATTATGTTTTAAAAAAGTTCTCTAATTGCCGAAAAATTTAGAGCCTGATCATTCTTTGCATTAGCGCTTAGTGATTACACTCTACAAGGTGCATGCGTTCCGCGTAAAGAAAATTCCATATTTTTCTATGTCATTAAAGGGATATCAGACAGGGTCCATAAAATTTTGCAATGGATGCGGACCATGTTGTACATTTCATGAGGAGCAGTGGTAAACGGTCAGGTACGATGCTATGTGAATGGACATATCGCGGTCTTAAAAAGTCTCATAATTAGAAACTTTTTTAAAACCTAATTATACTCCTTTCTTAAGTATAAAATATAAAGAGGACGTGATTTTCTATTGATTGATTAAAAGAAAGCACATTTTTATTCATGGTTTCTATAAAATATATATGAATTTCCAAGACCATCGAAAGTTAATGGGAAAAATGCATGCTACATAAGTAGCCATTTTTTCCCAAGCACACTTTCTACAGGAGCTCGAAAAGAAATGCATTTTTAAGCCGACATCCTGCCGAGTCTAAAATGTTATAAACGTATGCTTTAAGATAATCAGTATCGCAACCGCGACCAAGTAATCCTTCCTAATCGAAAACACATTTCAGAATTTCAGCCAACATTTCATGAGATAGGTCACGCACTGCAGTTGAATGCGAAGCAAGTCCGCACTGCAATAAAGGAAATCGCTTAAGTCACCATTGTGCTCTATGCAGGATAGTTGTGTTCCTCGCAACCTGTGATAGACGAACTCGAATAATTGCTGAACGATTTCCAGGAAGCAGTTCAGAAGAAAAAAGAAAGCGCGATCAGTTTATTGAACTGATGCCTGAGTCCTGGTTCTCTGGCTTGCATTCAGTTAACAAGTACAATGATCTCCGCCCCCATATTCTGTGTTGTGTTGCCTGGGTAAAATAATTTGCCACGCGGGAGCGACCGGGCAACTTACAGTTCCGGTGACAAAAATTGCCGGGTCATTAGCACGCCAAGAATCAACAACGATCACGGAGTCATGGTCAATGATGACTCGGACACGGACTGGCAAGCAGTCACCGCATCAAATATGCTCCGCTCCTGAGCGAAGACCGTACGTGCTTCTAACCATTCCTGGCATGTAGTTGTCTGATAACTGCGTCCTCTAAATAATGCGCTTCTTGTGCTTCTAATAACCTTTTCTATGACAGCCTGCGATTGTGTGCTCCAGTGAGCATCAGAAACGCCAGATCGGTAATTTTCTTGCTCCAGCGATCACATCCTCTTCTTCTGGGCTTGAATAACTACTGTGAAAAGATAAAGTTGTAAACTTAATCCTCACTGTTATTGAATATTTTTTGACTCACCCCTCCGCAATCATTTAAAAACCCCCCTCCGGATGGCAAATGCCTACAAGGCTGGTCGCTTGCTTTAAGATCGTTCTTTTGTCCATAAAAGATGAGATCCAAGTCTCGGACCCGACAGTCTTACATCAGGTCCTCCAAGATTACTGGTGGTCAACTGACCCACCAATTTAGAACTAATTTCAACGGCGAACGGCACTCGCAACTAGTCTGTCAAATAGCTAGCTACACACGTATTCCGCTCGCACAAAAACAAACAAACAATGAAGCCAGCACGAGGAGGTCAAATAAGAGACGACTTTAAGTGCGTGTCGGTGTGAGAGCGTGAACTTCTGCGAGATTTGGAGTTTAACGTTTAACGGTCGTTAATGGTTTAACGTCCAAAATGGTTAAATCAGCCTGTGTCTGCAATCCAACTATTGTAAATATGCAAATGTTCAAACGACTACATGATTAAGCTTCACCCAGTTTCCAACGCACTCTGGTGGTTGTTTAATAAATCTAAAAATTGACCCCATGTCTGTATGTGTGAGATTGACTGAAGCTCGTCTGACGACCGCGGCACAGAGGTTGACGTGGACTCTCTTGTCTTTTGTGGCTTGTTAAGGATGACCTCAGAGTTGAAGATAGCGTCAAACCAACGCACATTCAATGTCACATTTTTCGTTTAATAGAAACATTAATAGACACATTCGATTTCCTACTAAGGAGCCAACACTTTCTTGAAAGGAATGGCGACATATGGGGTTTTATTCTGGCATCGATTTGCAGGCCGCTACAGACATTATACTGCCAACAACAGTTACTTCCCACCACCCCAAACCATTACTCAAACTCAGTTATTTTTGATGGTTTATGGTTTATTTATTTCTTTATTAGCGGGCTGATTTCCATTGTCATACGAAAGCGCACGATAAGACTTTCAGCAGACATCCAGACAAATTTTGCGTTTTTTTGCATTTCGTCAGCTTACCGTCTCGTGTGCTGCCCCACCCGCAAAACTAACATTATAACCGCTCACACGTGACACGGTCCACAGTCTAACGACAGTTAACGGGGGGGGGGCTTCACGTTGCCGTTGCCCTTTCAAGGACTGAATGCTGTCTGAGAACTGACAGAATTTAGGAGCAATGTTAATTTAATCTACGCGTAAGGCAGTTATTTTCAAACATTCGAGACAGCGCTTCATAATTAGTTAGTGCATGCTAAGCAGAAAGATGAGTGCTTACCTGGATATCACTTTTCAGTGAGATGGCTACACTCACCCAAGCCACCTGCCTCCTATGAGGGCTTGCGCTACTGTTAGCCATGACTTGATCGTCCGCTTATCCGGTTTATCTGCTGTCACTGGGTTTTATACCCACCACCACCACCACCACCACCACCACCACCACCACCACCACCACCACCACCACCACCACCACCACCACCACCACCACCACCACCACCATCATCATCACCATCACCATCACCACCACCGCCAACTTATGTTTGTAAATACCATGGTGTCGACAAAGAAAAAGGGTCACTGGGGTGGCCATTGCTGGCTTACTAGCCCTCGTCGGCCAGCCGCACTCAAAGACGGTGAGCGCCCTGCCATGGTTAATATACTCCATCGCGATGGATAGAGTAGCAATTCGTGAAGAAAAAAAAACGCTAGCTGGGGCAATAGCTTTATTTGCCTGACGTTTAGCGTTCCTGTTCGAACCCATCATCAGAGACAAAAGCAGATACAGATGGTTCATGCACAAGGGCCTGCAGTTTTTATAGGATGCAGTCGCCATGCTACCGCATACACAAGAAAATTCATAGCTCCTCCTCCCTTCATCAGAGATCGTTGTACTTGGTGTGATGACTGTTTGATGGCCGACGTTCGCGTCGGTAATTGCTGCAATTTCATCACGTGTGTTGGGTGTTGGTATGATGATTGCTGGACCATCTGACCCACTGACCCTGGCTTTGGGAACAGCGTTCACCTGTGCGCTCCCCGCGTGGCCAATTACTCCGCCTAGGCGAAGTCTCAGCACCAAGTATGGAAGCGGAATGTCGTTGCACTAGTTAATAGACTGGGGGCCAGCGAACCATGAGTCAGCCAGCTCGCCCCTCACACGGTTGTCACCTCTAGCGAGAAGTTCGGCCTCGTTGAATTTGAATTTATGGCCATATTTCGTCGAATGAACCCAAACGTGAGAGCTGGCGTCATTTCTATGCACTGCTGCTGCGTGTTCGGCCATTCGCGTTCGGAGCTGTTTTTCGATTTTTCCGACGTAGTTGCATTATCCGCAACTGCATCAAATCCGGTAAAGGACTCCAGATGCTTCATGCCGTGGCAGCGGGTTTTTCGACTTCATTAACTGACGCCTGATGGCTGCCTCCGGTCTGCGTGCAAATCCAATCTCAAGTAACAAGTCTCCGACTTAATGGCTGCGGTGTCCACCTAATTCATCCACTCTGTTGGTATTGGCTCTGCTCGTACCCAACCTTCCTTGGGTAATTCGCATGCGACACCAAAATACATATGCCCACGGATGCATGCCTCGGCTGATATCATTGTTACCGGAAACCCGCGGCACCTCATTGTCGGATCCTGTACACTGTGTGTACTCGGCTACTTGTAACAACCGACCTCATCGTTTCATCACCAGGTGGTGTTCTTGTTAACGGTCGGATAGAGGTTTCCCACTGTGGTCACAAAGCACAGCACGTCAACCGGTGCATGGCAATCAATGGACGATTTCTTTTCTGATGAGATAGCCAGACGTGTTATTGGGTATGTAAGCTGGGTGCGCAAAGTATCTGCAGGCTAGTGTATTAGCGGTAGCTGGTGTTTTTCAACTCTCCTTTGATCTTACACGTCCCACAGGGGAGAGTTTGCACCTGGGTGGTTTTAAATCTTGAACCGTTATCGTCGCATGCCTCGAGAGACGAAGACAGGATGATATCCATTCTGGGTAAGTAGTTTAAGAAGGTAATTTATTCTTATTCGATAAATTTTTTAACTGACACAGCAGGTTTTAACTTTGCCTACTAGGCCAGCGACAATTTCAGACACCAGGATTCAGTCTCATCTGTTCTCAAGAAGCCATGCCAAGTGACTATAAAACAGCCATATAATCAAGTAAGTGTACGATTCATCAAAAACCCGAAAAGTCGAGACGCACATTCAGACGCGTTTGCTCTCACAGCCACCCAAAGACAATTATGCCAAATCTATGCATCGAGTTGCCCGCGAAAGATGGTAACCACCTCGCGTAAAAGACGGTGCCAAAATCAAAATTATCAAATAAGAAAACATTGAGACAAAAAGCAGCAGATACTTGCTATTGAGGCAGTGTCAGGAGGTGCTTACATGTATCTGCGCGTTCAATTTGAACCTAGGCCCTTGAAGATCAAAGTATAGATAGCTGTAATGCCTTCGGTTGAAAGACCACGAATAAAGTCATTATTAGCCTCCATTTGGGATAATCCGCTGATCATTCACAGACAAAAACTGGCATGTTCCTGCAAAAGCAACCGGCAGAAACTACGCCGGCGCCAAAAAAGGAGGGCACTGCGGCAGTTAACAGACTAAACCAGTCATCAGCCGTTTTCCGTAAGACTTGGTTATGCAGCCCCACCTGATGGACACAGTACTGTTGGGATTGGCTTTAAGGCTTAGGGGTTGGAGCAACTATCTCTCAACCTGTAATAACCCCTATTACCACTGGTTCCGTAGAAGAGGTGGCCGGGGTTTTTTTTACTTCAGGTGGGACTGCACAACCACATCCGATCCCCTTCTTCAACCACTTCGAATAGCCTGTAGTTTGTAGGATGGACAGAACCGACAGAGCGACTGCTCAAACGGATGGCAAGCTATTAAGGCTCCTGTGTGCAATGCCAAAAGACGAGTCCCAACAGGACCAGGAATCTCCTTGTTGGGTGACTAATATTCTGCAAGTACACGTGGAGTGGAATTCACGGACAGCCTGTTGAAGACATAGCCGAAACTCTAAGCCTGTATAACCCTTGTGCAACAGACGTGAAGGACGCCAGCGATCTGCTCCCAAATGGATTTAGGTGACAAAGAATCAACCGACAGTGGCTCATTGGTTAGGGACGTCGAACTTCGGGGTTGGATATGACTGACTGACGACGGCTGACTAGCCAGAAATGGCCATTCCAGTCTCCCTTGTTTTTGTCGGTAATATTGTTCTGCCTGCAGAAGCAAATATGTAGAAACAAAGAAACATCCTAATAGATACCTGAATTCCGTATTTGTGCCGCTAGGCACAGCGGTAGATACAGTGTAGACGGAGACCGAATAGCCCTATGACTGAAGGAATACCTGAACGAAAATTCGGACTATTGCAAAATAAAGGAAACTTTGTATCCCCTCCAACATAATTACCCATACTGATTCAACAGTGAAAAACTCGGCGCCTCAGTGGGGTTTGAACCCGCGACAGCAAAGGGAAGACTTGAGTACAGCCAATGCTCTATCCACCTGAGCTACGAGACCCCGCCGGGGGACGTGAGTTTAATCAAATTTGGGTCAGTTTATCCGCCCAGCCTACTGCAACGCCTGGAATCCACCAAATCTGATACAGTAAGATGACTGCACAAGCAGGATTTCCTAAGTAATCTCCCTAGAATCCACCAGATGACCACCAGGTCTATGTAATTCATAACAATCATCATAAATTCCACTGGCAGCAAATACAGCATCGTCCGCACAATCTTATTGATCTTACCTTTCATTTTCCCCCAAACCAACACCACCAAAATCATCATCATCATCATCATCATCATCATCATCATCATCATCATCATCATCATCATCCCCCTCCTCCTCCTCCTCCTCCTCCTCCTCATCATCATCATCATCATTTCAAGGCTTAATTTTTTCTCTAGTAATTCCGGCCTTTCTCCAAGAGCCTCTGAGATATTCTAGCAACAAGGGTGTGATTTATGACCGGGCTTACTAACTGCGGGGAGCATTTCCGTCGAGCAAAAGAGCTGAGCATCTGAGAACTTTATGGTATCACGTTTTTATCCTCCATACTGTGACCAGTTAGAAGGACACACCATGCTTGCCATTTAATGATAATAGTAGATGAATGTAATGCCCCTTTGCGGGCATTGTCAAAAAGGAATTGTATTGTCGTATTTTTTACTTCGGTTACTAACTAAAAGCATTGTGACCATCCTCACGCAAAAGCCATCGCGGGTTTTTTATTTATTTGTCTAGAACATGCCAATAAATATTGGCAGTGATTTTCTTTTGGCACAATTGCGCCCCGTAGTAAGTAAATCCGGCCATAAACCACACGCATGCTGTTCCCGCTGTTAGGACATTAATGCCCACAATTGCCTTCATCTGCCACCTCGTTGCTTGTGTATGTCTGCGTTTGCCCCCCCCCTCCCCCAAACGGGCCACGTGGTAGATGCGCTGGACCAACACGAGGGCCCATAGTGGATTCTGGCAGGCGTTATCGGCTTTGCGCACCGTAACAAATGCCAACTTTTTCGGGGTGCGTTGGCGGACCCGGTTGCCGGTGTACGTCGCGCACAATGGGGCCCCCATTGTTGTGGTTAATCAAAACCTGGTTATTTGTTGTGTGGACCAGAGGGTGTGGAATGGAACGCCGAAGTGCGGCCTCGACCACGCCATCCACCTGCGCCCTCCCCCGTCTCCAATCTTCTTGACTCTGTCATGACACCGGGCTCAGGTGGAAGAGGAGGAGAGGGCGCAGGAGATGATGTACCGTCACCCTGTTGTGGAGCACACGGTAGGCATTATCGGTAACGACGGTCGAACAATAGAGATTCTGGGCACCACTATGGCTGCCTAATCAGTCCCTGCGTTCTAGTACGTTCTCTTCCCTGCAAACATGAGCATATTTTCAACTTTGAAGTGCAATTTTGTTGACTGTGCGGGGAAAGATCTGCAATGAAATAAACATTCCAACACTTTCTCACCATACACGTCATACAATTAAGTCAAATCAACAAGCCTGTTGGGCGCGAGTTTTTGCAGAGAATATTCGATGATAGCCGTCGATGAGAGAAACATAAAAGGAAAAAGTGGCATTTAATAGTCAAGTGGAAGTCATTGGCTAACATGCACATATAATTTGGCTTTTGACAAATTAAATAATTCCTTTCTATCAGATCCGCGTGCAATTACAACTGAAAGCTACCACAGTCAGTATCGGATTCCTCCGTGTAACAACGTGGAGCGTTCAGCCATTTACTTCGAACCAAGTTCTCTTCCATTAGTTGTTGTGGTTGTTTCTTATTTAGTTTCTTTTTCATGGTTTTACCAGAATATGTGAGAATCGTGGTTGAAAGTGTATGCAGTACTGGTAGGATCAGAAGCAAGTTCCTTGTAAATGACATGAAGTGGAGAGCCTCCACTCTCAAAAAGAGGGCTGCAGAACCTAGACTCTGATGTCGCTAGAGAAAACTTTGAAATAAGATCAGTAGAGTTTAAATTATATCACTATGACGCTTCAGTGCGCACCACCATAGACGACGTTATGTGGAAGGATTAAAAACGGCTGTCATGTCGACTGAAGGAAGAAGCGAACTGTGAAATTCAATCTGCACTGATTTAGCGCTTCTCAGAAAACCGATTTTAAGCAGTCATGCTGCAGCAGATAGCAAGAGGCTTCCCTACGATCGCCCCTTGAGCTTAATTTTAGCTAGAGGGATCGGCTTTTGTTGAACTGACCTTCGCTCATATTAGATGCCGGATGAGACAAGAACGGCCACATCCACCGAAAAATGTCCAAATCAGAGGCCATTGTGAGAAATCGGTACTTATGTTACACTTTGCGTTTGGATCCACGCGGTGTCTGGAAAAAACGGTACAGTCTGTCAAATTCCGGTGTGATTTGCATGCTCAAAAAATATCCCCCATACTGAAAATCCGTCATTCTTTGGTTTGTCAATAAGACAAGACTCCAAACGGTCAAAACGGCAACGACGCGATTGAAAAATCACACCGCTTTCAATCCAGGAGTGAAGGTATCATAAACCAAAGCACTCAATCTGTTCTTTCGTTGGGTGATGGCTTATGTACGAAACCGAAAAGTCAAGGCAAGAAATTTCCCACTGTAGCAATTGACTACACGCCTCATTTCTTATCTGAGACCAACCGGCTAATTTCTCCACAACTGTTAGGCATATCAGAGCTCCTAAACACGCTGACGATGTTGATGACGCCTTTGATATTAATGCCCCACTGCTCCAACGTTTTTACAAGTCTAATCAACCCTGCCACATTTCCTTAGTAGGGAAACGTAGTGATTTCTCATTTATTTTACAAGCTGCTGATATTCTCTTGGACAAATTTGGTTAAAGAATGAACTGCAATTGGTGATTCCGGTCTGGATATGTTCATATATTTGTACAGTCAATGAACAATTTCATGAAATGCAAACCGAAACTCTAAAAATGATTTTTAAATTAATAAATGAACAGATATAATACTAGTTAAATGGACATATCAGTCATTAAAATAGCATAAGTGCACAATTTCTAAAACTAAAAGACGTCCTTACTTAGGGTATAGACCACCTAGATGATGTCGCGGCCTCTACCGTTTCACGCGTGACGTTTCGTGGCAATGGACTTAGCGCAGTTGCGGAATTTTGTAGGAACTACTGTTCCATCCACCCATACAAGCAAATAACTTTCAGTTGGGCTGATCTTTCGTGACCTTCAAAAAACGGTTGTTTCCATGATGACACAACAGGCATTCATAAACCTCACCTTGCTTGGGTTCTCGGCTCCTAAGTATGCAACTTGTAGTATCTTAAAAAGGAGTCTCGATTATTGATTTGCATTGGAATGGAGAAAGAGACGGACAGACAAATTCCTACTCACTCAGTGGACCGACTTTGGAATCGGTGGGAAATGTGGGACTGGGGGGAAGTCGTTTGGGAGCTTAGTATGCTGAATCTGGATGACTTTTGCGCAATTCTTCGTCGCTCTATGCCGATTCCGATGCTGGGTTTGAGCATTAACTGCAAAATGTCAGAGAGATCGCGTTCCCTCCATCTCGACTGCCTCCTAAGAGTCCTATTTTCGCTTGTGTTCGTAATAAATTTTAGATTTTATTGTTAAAAACTAAATTTTTGTATTGCTGTATTCTCCACATCGAGTTTTCTCTCTGACTGAGGAAAAAAGGTCTTCAGCGGGGATTTGAAAATATGTCCCCTTTCGGGGAAAAACGCGGAGAAGCTGTCATGACAACTGCTGGGAAAATTAAGGAAGTACCATAAAAGTTGACAGTTAGAGACGCGGAAATAAACTACGATTTAAAAATGTTTTAGACTGGTCGCGGGAATATGAACACCCGGTATGATAACTCCCGGGATATTTACTCTCGTCTAAAAATTTCACCCCTAACCATAACACTTTCCCTCCAAAGTCTAACATTAACTCTCATACCTATAGCCCTAATCCTCCCAGTCCTAGACAGAGTCCGATTCCTAAACCTGGAATCTCCCAGATGACCACCAAACGTATGAATTTAACGTGCGTTTTTGTAGGTTTTAGTGAATTGGAAAATGGGACGAGATGCAATCGGTCGTTTTTGTGTGAGGCTTCATTGCAAGACGAAGATAATCGCTAGTTCCACAGTGAAAACAAAGTGAAACTGACGAATCCGTTCTAGTCCTGGTCAAAATCCTAAAAATAGACCTTGTAACCCTGAGCTTAGCTCAAGGCCATCTATGAACCGGGGGCCCCCATTCTCGCGTCTCCCATGTTTTACAGCGACGTTTGATCAAGACGTCCACATACTGTCCACAAACAAACACAAGCCAATGAACGCTGAACTGCAGCAAAGCAGGCGAAGGGGTGGTAATGCTTTTTCAAACAGACTAGGAAACTAACCCTGTCAATTATAGCCTCGATTGGGCGTTTTTTTACGTGCTTTTCCTGCATGACAAGTAATCCATTCGGGTATGGGAGCATCTCTTCCAACAGCCGGCAGTGATCAGACCAATGAATCGGCTAGATCGCAGTTGGTAGCCAGGCCCCGTATTACAGGTGGGGAGAGGTGTTGTTTACTGGAGCTATGCTGTGGGCTCCATAATCACATCTAACCCGTTGAGCTTCTGTTTTACGCTTGAGGTTAGGATTAGGGTACCGGTTAATGTTTTCCGATTTTCGGGTTAGGGTTATGAGTTTAGGCTTAGGTTTTCGGACTACGGTTAGGGTTTGAAAGTACAATTAGATCTCAGTAGTACGGTTAGGTTTTTCAGTTACGCCTATGTCTAAGGGTTACGGTTACGTTTACGGTTTTGGAGGGTTAGGATTAGGGTTGCCGTTGCTATTAACGGTTAACGTTTAAGTTTGAGGTTAGGGTTAGGGTTAAGGTTAAGGTCGCCGCCCGCTTTCCCATTCCTGGCTACCAACTGCGATCTAGCCAATGAATCTACCGAGATGTTGCTCAAAAGTGCCCCTGAATAGTTGCTCAACCGGCGAGAAAGTGTCAGTTCAGAAGGTGAGACCACAATAACATGAGGATTATTGCCCTCACATTTTGGATTCTCACTCGGGCCCATCATCACAAACGGTTCACCTACATCTGCAGTCGCCTCTGGTGGTGGGTTCGAGTGAGAATCCGAAAGCTCAGGAAACAAACCTTATGTTCCAGTGATCGCATCCTCTCCTTTCGAATTGCTTCCTGGAACTCGCCTGTTCGCTTCTATCGAAGTGTCCGTCTTCGGGTGGAGATGAAACATTTCCTGCAGAGGCCCGCTGTAGGTCACATGACAAATTCTGCGACAGACATCCTTCGGTTACTACTTAGACATGAGAGGATTTGAAGAGAAGCAATATATCTACAAAACATAACTACACCCAATATCACAGCCAAATATCTTTAGAAGAGCCAATCACGGACATTTATAAATTGTGGGTAGACAGACAATGCCCTTTCCAGCTACTAAACGTTGTTGCAGACTTAATTTGCAATTAGGAAGCCTATTTTAGGCTGAAGTTAAAGTATCCGAGGCCTGTGGACTAGAATCAAAAATTATTGTGCACCTGTCGGTTAAAAGGGCAGTTTTTTGGAAAACTCGATTACAACAATGCTTTCATATTATTTAGGATTCTTAACAGGGTTTCATTTTTGGGGTCTTCAGCAACGTAATTGCTCGCTGGGGCAGTTATTCAACAAGGCCAAACGGATCAAACTATTTGGAAGCACTGTGGGTCTCTTAACAGTCAGCAAACAGTGTTTTTTCTTCCGGGCAGTTTGTGTGTCAGGTAAACCACAATCTGAAATTTCCACTTCTGCATAAATGTTAGTTCAAATGACCTGCATGTGGTTACTTCGTAAATTGGTAATGATCGGATGAAGGGCCCCGAGTATCTGTGGCATTCAAAGAGTACCTGCTATACCTATTTTAGTGGGCTTTAATCCGGCACCGTTATTTCGGTTTGGTGGTCCATCGTACAAGGTTAAGTCACCTATTGTAGACGGTCTGGTGCATTATCTACAAAGAACTCAGCTCAGAGAGTTGCGAGACGATCGCTGTAGACAATTAATGCCGTTTTTTAAATTGTTCTGCTTAATTTCGGCTGTTAAGTGGCAATGCGTTAAACTTTTCTGTCCGAAAAACGAATTTACCAATTATCTTTACTTATTTTCCCATTCCTCTATGCATGCATAGGCCCCGCCCGTAAAACCCCTATTACCACCTTTTCCCGTAAGACAGGTACCTTTGACTGGCCATGGGCGTTTGGGCTCCTTCACCCGATCGTTGTCTTGGGCCCTTCCATTCTTGCTCGAGTATATCTGAGAGCCAAGTAACTCATCTGTTCATCTGTATTCTCTTGCTTACGGAGCGGTCATGCAATGCAAACATCTGTTTCAATTCCTGCGCCCAAAAGAGCTGTCCTCATAAAACAAACAAACTGCCTTGTAAATATTGTTTTTGCGATTGCAGACCGCCAGCGTTGATGCAACGGCAGAGCCAAAAAAGTGATTGCTGACTTCCCGCCCCCACAATGCCAACCTCATGTCCTCTTCTCCGAATTCGGACTAAAGCGGATGGAGATGTGAGAGGGTGATTTTCGTCGGTCGTCATTCGCGCCACATCGATGTCGCCAGACCACCAACAGAGCGGTTTGGTAAAATAAACATTTACCCCCTATCCTGCCCTATCGGTCTCCCCCCCCCCCCCTTGGTACGAGGAAAATATGTGTTTTCTGTCAAAATAGAAACCTCGCCTATCATCACAACAAAAACAGCCGTACCAAGGTGTCTTCACTGTAGCTTTGATGAGTTGGCTTTTTTTTATCCAAAATGAGGAGCATGGTGGGCAGGTAAGAGGAGTCGCACCCCCTCAAGCCCCCTCAAGCCAGATCACCGTGACGCCGTAGCCTATCCCCTATGAATAGGGATAGGCTTCTGCCCGTAAGTTAACCCAGGCCCCCTCACCTTTTTGAGGTCCTATAGGCCACATCTTGCAGGCTGCCGACGTAAATGAAGGGACAGTCTACGCTGAAGCGAGCCCTCACGGTCTACTTTGTTCCACACTTCCCGCGAAAGAGCCACGACAGATGACTGCCTACAGCTTCGTGAAAGTCTTGGCTAGATGCCAACATTTTCCCTAAGCTCAATAAGAGAACATTTATTTGGTGAATAGTTGAATGTGCGGATCACGGATTAGGCTGTCACTAAAGGCAAAATGTGGTCTGATGAGTTAGAGGACAATGGGTTATTGAATGACGTAAATGACTGAGCTGAATTTGTTGTCAACCAATTTCACAGTAGAAAGGCATTACTGACAAAGACAAGGGAGACTGGAATGGCCAGTTCTGGCTTATTAACCGTCGTCAGCCAGTCATACCCAACCTCGAAGTGTGGAACGCCCGAGGCTGCAACTCACGACCTGTTAGTTAGAAGTCCAAGCCTCTAACCACTGGGCATTTAATGTGTTGGTCCAACTCTGGCTTTCTCGTTGCTATTTTTCTGTAAGCAAACGCCTTCAGAATTCTCCAAGTATTTTGAAATGTGTTCTTTGTTTCAGAAACATTAAGATATGTGCTAAAAATCCCAAGAGAATATGGAAACAGGGAATGATGGATGTCCTAGAAACAGAAAATGGAAGCTTATTGGCCATTGTCTATGTCCGGGTGGACACCCTGCCCAATGCCTTAATCTCTTTTGAAATAAGGGGAACTCTTCCGCTGCATAAAATGGCCTGAACCGCCGAGAACTGTTTGGGAACGGAATAAAATCGGCGATACTTGCATCCATGCGGCAGATACCATACATGAGCCTGATGAGAGTTCCTCACATGAAAGCCGGCTCCTTTGAAATCTGAGGCGACGGTCCTCAAATGTCACAAACAAAGCCATCAACTGCATGTCCAACGGAGTGGACACAGCACGGGTACCTTGTGCTTACGCTGGGACAAACTTGTGTAGCATCTGCCACACTCTCCCCTCCACTACCCCCCGATCCGCTGACACGACAATGTCAAGACGACCGGGGGGCAAGGATGGGTGTCGTCGCGAACAAAACTAAACAGCCCGCCTACGCTTGCGGGACATGCCCAGAGCACTGTCGATAAAAGTGGACAAGCGAGTTCCAGGAAGCAGTTCCGACGAAGAAAATGCAATCGCTGAAAGAAGAAGCCTATTGGTCTTACGTTTCTTATTCTCACCGAACCTATCATCGGGGGTAGTGGCATAGTCGACGCAGTACTTATAGGACGCAATGACCAGGAAGTCATATGCCTATAATAGATAATAATGTTCACATTCATCCTTGAGGGTCGTACTTAATGTGATGACTGCTCGTCAGTCCACAATCGAGTCGTAATCACCGTAATTTCGTCGCAGTTGTCGATTCTTGACGTGATGATTAGTCGCAATTTGGCTCACTGTTACTGTAAATGTTGGCCGACCACGTCCTTCTCGCGGGGCCAATTGTTCTGTGTAGGTCTGGTTTCAACATAGAATATGGAGATTGTGGGTCATTGCACTTGTTAATGGACGACGGCCAGGGGACCATGCTTCAGGCAGCCGGCGCTCACGCGATCGTCACCTTTAACGAGAACTTCCGCTCCGTCAGGCTTGAAAGTGTAGCCGGGTCCCGTCGGATGAGCCGAAACCTGATTGCTATCGTCGCACTGCGGTACCTTCGAGGGGTACTTAGAGCGAATGTTTAACCAGAGCATGTGCAAACGCGAAGAGACACCCAGTTCAACCAACTTCAGATTTGGTGCGCTCGTCTGCGAAAAACTTCTCAGAAGCCATCAGTCGCCCTCAAACACCACTTGGATTTGTGATTACACACATAGCAGAGACACCCCTCAGGTGTGTATAAAGAGAATTTTCCTTCCGTAAAATTAGGTTCCACCTTTCCTTTATCCTGGATTACGTTGAGTTTCAGATCGGCCTTGCAGTATCGCTGGTTACTTCATGAGTTTCAGTGTTTTCAGTAGACCGGCCACAAAGAAGATTCTGCCTATGGTCTATTAAAATATTTAAAACGCGATACTTCTTGAAGGCATTCACCGAAGTAGTGAGTGTTTTGACGTTCAAGCAGATGGTCGTTTGAAGAATCACTCAAATATGAAACCTCGTAGTCCAATGAAATGAGCGTACACAACAGGAGTCAGCAGAGAACATACTTTCGATCGATTGGAAAACATTCTCTAATAAGTAACCTTTCAAGGGGTGTTTTAATTGTGCGTTCCGTTGATGGTTATCTATGGACTTTGATTTTAACACGATTAAACCAAGAAGCAATTAGACACTTTTGGGCGTTTCTTTCATGTTGCTGAATAAAACTGTCTTTCATTTTATATTGGGTCTATTTTTATAGACCGTGTTCTACGAATATGAATGCATGGCATAGTGGCCATATATAGGCTGGTATTTCGTTGGAACAGTTAATGCTTGGCTTGTGCCATTTCTAATGTTTGCATGTATAAAAGCTAGACCGCACGAAAAGTAATGTTTTATATGTTTAAAACTGAAAATGACCATCCGGTGACAGTCCTATCTGTGGCAACCCATATCATTTTCCAAATGGCAAAACAATTTCTGGTCATTTAAACAAACGATTCCCTGTGAGCGTTATTACTGCGCATTAAGACAAGTGATCTCACAGATCTGCTAGTCTGACTTCTAAAAATCGATAAAACATCTGTATCTCTTGACATAACCTTTGTTTTAGCAAGCTCACTCCCACGGTAAGGATCGAACAGAAAATCCGTTTTAAAGTCCGGCAAGCTCTGTTTAGTAAAATCCCTGAGAGTAAATTAATCTCCTCTCAAAGAAAGAGGTGCTCAGATTTAAAATCAAAGTCTATGGCATGTATTAACATAGGAAATCTCCCGAATACGTCACAACGCTCATTTAAACTCAAATCTATGATCATATTGACTGGTAAAATTACGCAGATACATATTGTACATGAAAAAAAGCATTTTCTTGATGAGACTCAGCAAGTCAGCAAAATGTGCAACGTTGAAGGTTTCTAAAAATTCTCATCTCATATTCTGTCATAAAGTTTCATGAGTTAGGTCACCTACTGCATAATAAATTGTAGAGTGACTTAGAAATTTAGAAAAAAGTGGTCTAAAATCTCAGCTACCGTGTGTGCCTGTGTGCGTTATGACGACACCTTCGAGCATGAAATCGCACAGGTTTGCTAATCTGGCATCCAAATATCGATCGAACGTCGGGTTCACTTTAAATAACCTTTGAGGCAGCAGGCAATAAGGCAATTTTCAGGTGCGGCAACCTCTGTTTAGTAGAACTCTCGAGAGTGAATAACTCTCCTATCAATGAAGGACATTCTCAGATGCGCAGCTGAAGTCTGGGATATGCAATTGCACAGAACATTTCCCGAACATATCACAGCGCCCAGTTTCGCTCAAATTTATGAAACTTTAGCTTGATAAAAATTGCGTCGACGCATTTTCTTCGTAAGAAAAGTGTACTTTCTGGAAGAGGCTGGACGCGGGAGCAAAATGCACGACGTTTTTGGGCGTCTGAAAATTCCCATCTCAGATTCTGTCATAATGTTTCAGGATTTAGGTCACCTAGTGAATAATAAATTTCAGTGTGACTTAGAAGTTTGTACACAAGTACTTCAAAGTCCCTGCTGCTGTATATGCATTGTACTGACCTCATCTTCCTTGGTCGCAGGATTAATAACCTCAATAAATGTAGGCCACTTTATTTTTGGATATGATCACATCATCTTCGTAGGAACTCCTAAACCCCAGCACTTAGACTATGTTTCGCACATTTGAAAATGTTAATCTCCTGCATGTTTCGATATCCTTGACGCGTATATGTCAACGGCCACCAGCGAGGTTGACACTGTGTTATTTGTGCAATCGGGACTCTACTTTTCAAATCTACACCATTGCCAGTAGTGTATTCAAAATGCTTACACATGGCTCAAGTCAGCCAGCTAGTTCTTCTCCTGAACGACGAAGACGGCGCGTGCTTAGCGGCGAAGGTCCGTGCTGCCAACTATCTAATCGCTCAACGAGGCGGCAAGCCAGATTGTGTCTGCAAAAGTGGTGTTCTCAAACTGATTTGAGCTGGAAATAAGCCAGCAGCGACTGCGCTTATGACTCGCTGCGCTCTGACGCTCTGGTGGAAGGTAAAAGTACGCACTCTGAATGAGTTAATTTTAGCAACCTGTCCCCAGTCGATTGGCAGAAGAGTGCTGGCAAAGAAGGTTATCGTAGGCAGGGTGATTTCTTATTAATAGACTGTGACAGGGTCCTCTACGAAGGAAATGAACACAATGATCTGGAGACTATCAATCCGAGGATTCACACAACCGTGCAGGATTATGCCTTTGGCATGATGAGCGTTAGTTTCGAACCACAGACGGTCAGATTTTGCATGTCAGGGTGCATTAGATTATATTTGAGGTTCATTTTTGACGAGCTGAGGCGGACTGAGACACATTTGGAGAATTTAGTTTTATAATTTTTCGAGAGACGTGAGGAGTGCTGGATTGGGCTAAACATTTAAACGCTTAGCCGTTAAGGCTGCAACATGCGGGGTTGACGTGCTTATACTTAGCGGTACTAAAGATTAAAGACAGATTTTATGGTTTCTACTATTTATTTGGTTGCAGCTTGTAATTGCACCTGTTACTGATGGGCAAACGCAGCGTTCTTACAGTTGACTGTAATTGAACTTGTACTTTCACTCCCTCCTGACGCCAAATAAACCTGAAATGACCCATTGGCAAATAACTGCACAGTAATGACTGGTATTAATACTCGTGTTCGTCAGTGGATATACACGCGATGGACATGAATCCTCTCCATTTTGCCTGGGCCATTTATGGTTTTACAGTTTTTGTGTACTCCAAATACGGAACGAACTATGAATTTAAGTAGGAAGCGACGGCAACATTATCCGCAAAATTAATTGGTGCAATATTTTCGGCGATGTTACTTTCCTATGCAATCAAGAACGATTGTTCTGAGCCCCAGTTAGCTCCCTACAACAGTTTCTTTATTTCCGTCGTTTTTTAGAAATTTCGCCATTATTAAGGATAAAATTTTGGAATAATTTAGGACATGACCCAGGATGATTTTGCGGGAAGCTCGACAATCTTTCGTAGCCATGAACTTGAGGCGAATGATGAAATGCCCGAATAATTGACTGACGCGACAGAACAGGTAGTAGCTAAAAGCCCAGGCAGGCGTGTCTTACTGAAAATGTGCGTCTTCATAACCCAAATTTGAGGGGCTCGGCTCATCAGGGAGTCCCATCCCCACCGTCGTTCAAGTGTTTTCTGGTGCTTGCTGTCATTTTTAATTTGCTTGAAAACTACTGTGTCACCTCGGAGTCGATCTTTTGGAACGGAGCTTTTTGGGCTCGTTCCAAGAGTAAAAATGGATATTTGGGCTGAAATCCATCAGCTACCGCGGAACAAAAGAGATGCTGGCAGGTGGTTGGAGGGATGACAATTGTTAGCCGGCTACCGTACTGCCAGCAAGGGACATGCGCATTAGTTTCCGAGGCAATCAAACAGATCTGCAACGTGGTGATTACGCCTGTCGATAGCAGTTATAGAATAGCATTTTTTCCGAACTGTAACGATGGGCTGTAGGACCCCTTAGTAGATGGCAACTCCAAAATTACACACAAAAATTCCGTGTGACTGTAAACATCCCACATTATTTATCGTTCCCATTGTTTGAAATTTCCTTCAATTCTTGGTCAAGTGTAAACTTACCAGCGGTACCTCATTCAAGGTCCATTACTTGTCATTTGTTTTTATGTGTTATTTTATTATTTTATTTGTTCTCCATTAACGCTGTTACGTCCTTTGTCGAATGGCAGCGTACAATAAGACTTTCGACAGAAATTCCTTGCTCTCCGTCCTGTTTGTTGCCCCATCAGTGAAACCCCTTCTACAACCATTCAACGTACGACACGGGGCACAGAATAGCTCAGGCTAGCTGGGGGTCCTACACTCTATCGTTGCCATCCTCGGTTCCCATACAGGAGTTTGCTGCACAACAGGCAGTCTGCCTTCAAGCTTGTGGACAGGGCTCGCTTTTTGTTTTTGTGTGAAAAGAAGCCCAACGACTTACAACCTATAATTTAGGTATGTTGACCCAGAATTCAAATGGAGAAAACGATCAAGTCCATTGAACAACCACGAGACCTACGTGTCACTTTGTTCATTGGGAAACAGACGTTTGTTGGGGGTGGGGCCTTAATGATCCGAAATGAAAATGGGTGCAGTAGCCGGGCAGAAAGCATCAACGTCTACGAGTGCACAGACGGTATCTGCCTCTGTTATACAAGTGTTCATATTCGATTCCGTCCAAGCATTCCTCAGTGAGGGGTCGTGCATTTCAGATAGACGAATGTGCCTAGGAAGTCGCATATTTAAGGCGTCCTTTCAACCAGGTCGGTCCCTAGTTAGACGGAGTTATCCGGTTTATTAACCACCTTGCAAGTCACAGCCGTTTGCCCACGATCTTCTTTATCTAACATGCGCCGTTGACTGGTCTGAGACTGCTGGTCGACTCGTTATGGGAGTGGCCACGTGTATTCAGGCTCGATCGGGAAATTTGATATGAATGTGTTGACTTAAAGCCCCCAGTTACTAGGCAGTATATTCTTACCGACAAAGACAAGGGAGACTGGAAGGGCCATTTCTAGCTTATTAGCCGTTGTCAGCCAGTCATACCCAAGCCCGAAGTGTGGAAAACCCGCGGCTCGAACTCGTGACCTGTTAGTTAGAAGTCCACGCCACTAACCACCGGGCCACGAGCCCGTTGTCCTGTCGGTTTTCGATCGGGAATATACAATGGTAGACGGATGCTCACCGATCGTTAATATAGAACTCACAAGTTTCATTGTGCCTTACGGGCTCTCTCTCTCTCTCGAGCCCAGACAGCAGCCGCATAGCGGCGCATGGTATAGGCAGTTTTATTATCAGGCTCGAGGGAGAACCCATAAAGCACAACGGAACGAGTGAGTTCCGTAAGTATGATCGGTGAGCGCCTCCCCCACCCTCTGTTACTGTCGAATAATCGCCCAATCTTCAATAAGCATTAATTACTTTATTGCAGTAGAATTGCGAACACTTTTTGGTAGTACAGGCAACGTTTCGGAATAATTCCTCGCAATATCTTCCTTACAATCTGTTACATGATTTAAAATCTTGACGCGTGTTTCGCCAATTTTTTGCGTTACATGACACGTTTGTGAGGGGATCGGTTCATCCAGGAGATACTTCAGATTTTGAATTCATACTATTTGATCTTTTCAGAAATTTATGCACTGACTCAGAGTACATTCTTTGGAATGAAAGATTCCAGTTTCAGTCCGAAAGCTCTTCCTACATTCTCGATCGTCGAGCTGTTATTAATCAACGTGTCGATGCACTTTGAATGCAGGGATTTCCTCTACCGATATACTCTCTTCTTCGGTGATATCATCTTCATTCACAGAACTGCACTGAAATGCGTGAAATCCTTTTGATTATCAGTATCCAAAATCATTTTGCCCTTTTAAAAGTTCGTAGCATCTGTTATGCTGATGTAATTTGGGTCTATCTTTTGAACACCTGAATGCTTTTACTCCATTCTAAGGTACGATTTAAGATCGTTTTATTGATTCTTACATACAATATTCTAGGCCAAATTTATGTTTCTGGTCGCGCATGTATTCTAAATTTGTCATTAGAAAAACGCTGACGAATATGTGGAGAGTTTCTTTGTATGCTCACGCTTGTCTTGTCGGTGACAGCGCATTAAGACGGTACCGTGCGTCCGTTCCTTAGATTGCATAGTCGTTTTTACTGAATCCTTTTAAGTAGTGTGAAATCCGCAAATAAAGACCGATGGACTAAGTAGTAATTTCGATGATGGCATGTACCGCGAGCATATACTAACATACTCCATTAAATGGAACGACAAAAATCAATGCACTGTCATAATACCCATTTCTTTCAGATAAATTTGCCTGCTAATCCGCAAGCTTTCCCTAGGAGTTCGACATGTCATTATTTGAAATTCCTCAAACTAATTCAGTTCGGTCCTATCGTTGAACATTGCCAGATTTTCAATAGACTCCTTCATGAAATAGCGTCATCGGCGTTTGTGGAGGGGTGAAGGCCGTTTTAGACTGTTGTATCAAGTCAGGACAGTCCTGTAATATAAAGAGTAATGGACATGCACGCAACTAGGCGCGGGACAAAGCGCGAAATAGTTCACCTTGAAGTCATCTTGGAGAAATTTATGTGAAGAGAGGCCGACAAAGTGGGAGAACTAAAGCGTCTCTTTGGAGCAACCACATACCAACAGTTCGACCGTCGTCACTGATGATCTCTAACGTGCGGTGGCATGCACGTGATAGCAAGATTGTGTAGTACCGACCAGACTCTGGAACACTTCGTTTACTGAAAAGTCAAATTGACTAACACGTGTTTCCGGTAATTCTTCGTCAGGCCAATGCATTTACATGAAGGAGTGAACATGTACAAAGTTAACCGTGTTTATTGTCCTGAAATTTCAGACTCGTGCAGAAATCCATCGTCAGAGTTAGTAGCAGCAACAGAACAAGCGACAGTTATAAGACATGCAGGCCAGTCATCGGCCGAGGGTACAAGACTGGAGTTGACTACGCAGAGCTCTGTATGCCGGCGCCAGATCGATAAATCGATTGACCGAGTCCTCATCCGAAGCCCAGGCTTCAATCAGTTCTCGGTCTGTTTTATTTCCGGCGTGTACGACCATTTTGGTGGCTGCGATGTTAAACTCGTGACTCACTTCGTAGGTGTGGGAGGCCATTTGTGATAATGTGTCGTCTCGTCGCACAGCCAGCTTATGTTCGGGTATGCGCGATCCGGGCATGCGTCCAGTATGCCCTGTGTAGTTACAAGGACAATTTTGACATCGAATGTGATATAATACTCCAGATTGCTCTTCCGGCTTTAACCGGTCTTTGATTTTCATGACCGTATTGCGCATGGTGGCTTTGGGGCGGTGTGCAATCCCAACACCTAGCTCCGCAGCAACGCGCTCGGTCGCTTCCGAAACGCCCTCGATATATAGCAGAGAATGTCATATTGTCGGAGGTGTTGATATTCGAGTCCTCTGGTGGCGACCTTGTAGGCAGCGACTTATGAATGCCCCCGGATGGCCATTTTTCACAAACTGGTCGCGGAGATAACAGGCCTCATGTGCTCTGTCCTCCGGTTTGCTGCAATCGATTTATCGATCTGGCGCCGACGTACAGAGCTCTGCGCGGTCAACTCCAGTCCTGTGTCCTCGGCCGATGATTGGCCTACATGTCTTATAACTGCCGCTTATTCAGTTGCTGCTACAACCTCTAACGAGGGACTCCTGCGTTAGTCTGAATATTTAGGACAATAAACGAAGTGTACCGGTGCTCCACTCGTCTTCTTCACTTTTGCATACACCTAGAACTCGAAATTTCGCCTTCTTTCGACCAAACTCTCTCCGTCTCCCCCATCTGGACCCGCTGTCAAGACGAAGTCAAGACGACCGGGCGCAAGAGAGGACGCAGCTGGCTGACATGACGAAAACCCGCGCCTAGGCATACTATCACACCCCTAGTCCACAAAGGACATCGAGACACCGAGTTTATCACAGTTGGGTCAACGTGAATTATTTGAAATCTGCCAAAACACCTCTGAACAGCATTAAATATGATTCGATATTACTAAAAAAAACGGAGGACAGCTCGGAACCCGTTTTGCTCGACAAGCGCTTGCACCTGTCGGTAGGATGGTAGTTGGTAGCCCTGCCCACTGATTCTACAATTGTAATTACTGGCTCGATTTCAAGCTCTGTGATTACGTTCTCATTATGTCTGGGAGTGCTTGCGCAAAAGCCCTGTCAGGATGACTTTCGTCTTCACTTTAACCGCCCCGAGAACGAGGCGCTGCAAAAATGTCTATCAAGACTTTTTGTATTGTACCCCTACACGGAAACCTTTAGTAAAGGACGAAAGATTTATCCTAGGCGGATTATGATCCATCATGCTTCTCATTATGCTTCTAAATGCATGTGCGCACTGTGTTACCTGTATCTGATTCATTTTAGAGGTACTATCCTAGGCTGCATACCACAGTACCCAGGTGTTACCTGAAGGCATAACCATCCGTGTGCTGTCGCAGTATTTGTAAGGGCATGACATTTCGGCATCTACATAAGACCCTACAGGTCAGTAGTCCTTTCTGCTGGAGATACTGCACTAGGTAGGACGACTGGATTATTTCCAGGATCCACGAATAATCTGTCGGCCTATGCACTTGCGGTCCTGCTTTCCTTCGCCTTCTTAGAGACTGGGCTCTGCAAGCAGAACAAAGTGTAACTTCATGTACAGAGTGCTAATTCCTCTTTACATTCTATAGTAGACCATTCACATATAGCAAACAACTACTGCCATAGTTTTGATCCTAGATGTGGCCACAATGACAATACACTATTATTTGCAGATGTTCTCTTTCGCTCAAACACATTTTTTGCATTAAAGTCTTACCCCACTTGCGTTATGCCGTCCTGCGTGCTACTGCTTGACTCTCGTGTTCTCATGTCCATTCTGTCGGTTTGAGTACTGTCGCACATATTGCGGAATGACCTTAGGACACACTGCCTTCTTCCCGTTGGTTGTTCACCTTCAGTTGTTATTCTTTCCAATCTGGGGTACGGCTGCATTTATTCCGCATACCGTTCTAATTAACCATGCTAATTTCCATACCCTCCTTGCATTTTTCACCTTATTTAAATTACGCTTCCACTTTGCCAGGAACGTCAAATGCAGGCATACCCTACAAGCGCCATTTACGCCTTCACTCATCTGCCCCACCCGCATAGCCCCTATTACCACCGGTACCGTAAGACAGGTAGCTGGGAGTTTTCGGTACCGGAAGGGCTACCAACTACCATCTAACCCACCTGTCACCACACCTCCAATGTTGGCAATTGTTATGGGTTTACATTCCCTATAACATCTGCTGGACCTGACAGTATCCATCTCCTCGATGAAACCCTCCTTGCGTGCGTAAATTGTCAACAATGTCTTTCTGCAAGTGTTTGCAGATAGAATCGCAGGCGATAGTGCATACTGACTGCCAGCAAACCTGTCCTAGGTCTCACTGAGACATAATCCCTTAGTTACAAACGGCGAAATGTTTGTTAGATGGAGCAGGTGACAGTTTCACAACTAAGACTGTAGGTTTGCTTGCCTCAAGTGTTATGTCGATGCCCATAACTTAGAGATGAGAGAGTTATGAGGCGTCAAGACGGACAAATGACCGGCTTCGCAAGTACGGAGGTGTTTTCGTAGTACACTGCGTGTGGGGTGGCGGAGGGAACGCAGTAGATACTGCTCAGGTGTGCTATCAACACCAACTCATTCACACATACACTAGGTGGGCCAAATCATGAAATGTCAATCGAAATTCCAAAACGCGTTTTCGTTTCGAAAAGATTAATTAAGTAGGGCTTTAAAACCAACCATAGTGCAGCATAATTCTATAATAATTCGGTCGCCTCAGGATGCCGGCTTACGAACGAAATCCTTTTAGACTGCATCCAGGAACTATACTCTGCAATCTATGACTACTTAAGTAGCATGCATCTTTTTCATTGATTTTCGATGCCCTTGGAAAGGCAATTATATTTCATGGGAAATATGCATAAAACTATTCATTCTTTCGCTCGTTCGATAGGAAATTATGTCTTCTTTCAATTTCCTGCTCGGAAGAAGGGTAGAATTTGGTTTTAAAAAGTTCCCAATTTTAAGATTTTTTACTACCGTGAAGTGGCCGTTCATGAAACATCATGTCTCTGCATTTACTAATGTTGCTTTCAAAGTTAACGATATGGCTCAAATCCACTGCTAAATTTTATGAACTCCATATGGTCTCCTCTGAATGCCTTAGAGAAATTTGAGGTTTTCTGCAAGCGGAAAATATACGGCTTTTAGGCTGGAAACCCTAAATGGAAATGTAACGGTAGGTCGAGTTCAAAATTATTCGGGGATTGGAAAGGTTTTTTAAAACCAAATTAAACCCTTTCTTCGAGTATAACATTGAACGAAGATGTAATTTTCTACAGAATGCGCAGAAGAGTGAATATTTTTATGCATATTTCCCATGAAATATAATTGACTTTCTAAGGGCAACGAAAATCAATGAGAAAGATGCATGCTTCTTAAGCAGTCATAGATTACAGAGTATAGGTCCTGGATGCAGCCGAAAAGGAGTTCGTTCGTAAGACGGCATCCAAAGGCGACCGAATTATTATAGAATTATGCTGCAGGATGGTCGGTTTTAAAATCCTACTTAATTAGTCTTTTCGAAACGACATTTCATGAGTTAGCCCACCTACTGTAATTCACCGCCCTGCGCCCACGGTAAACGCCCTGATTCGCAAGGGTCGAATTTTCACGTGAATGAAATGCTGATGTGCTTATTGGCCAGTTCTTCACCACTGACCAGGGCTTCTTTTATTTGAAGATCTGTCATGCATTCTGCAGTTGCAAACTCAAAGGGAGTGACTGTGCCTAAAACAGAGGATATTGATTGACATCTGACCGCCACCTCGCCCAGATGTTTCCTATGCGAGATCTCAAATTTTGACCGGTTTGGCCTGTAACGCTACGAGGACAGATAAAGCAGCAGGTATGCGAGAGTGTATCAGATATTTTACTCTTATTTATCTTGCCTTTACTTTGCACCTGATTTATAAGGGTCGGTGTGCAGAGGTGCATCTGAGTGCTTCAGGATTTTTTTGCCTGATTCCTCCGGTTACAGACAAGGAGTCACCGGACTTTGGAGACTTTTGCAGGGATATCCCACGCAAATACGTCGTAATGGTTACTGATCTTATACGCTTTCTCCTTCGCTGTGCAGCGGAGTGTCAAATATAGCCTAGTTTCATTATCATTTTCTATAATGACTTCTATGACAGATACTGCATTTCTTCACCTCTTCTGGATTCTTGACCCTTGTCCTCCATCCAAAAAGAACTCTACTTTCTCTTCCCTCCCTCCTCGCATACTGTATCTCGTGAAGATTTTGATGGGTGGACTTGGAAATGCCATTACTCGCCGAGTATTTGTGCAGAACTATATGCACCAAATGAGACACAGTGAATTTCAACAACAGAGGGCGCTATGATGCCCTCCTGCTAAATATGTTTACAATGAAGAAATAAGAGGAGGTATCGGCAACGACAAGATAGATTCGGATGGCAATTTCTGGCTTATCAGCCGTCGGTTGCCAGTTAAAACCAGCCCAAGGCCTGGATGGTCTTGGGTTCTAACTCGGAGGCTTTGGTGAGTGCGCGTTACGTGGTCCAGCGCTCTGCCCATTATTTACAGGCCTGTTCCTGTGTCGGTCGAGATCAGGAATATTAACTATAGTGAAAGTGTTTCCACCAATCGGGTAACGAGACACACTCGTTTCGCTGCACCTTGGGGAGAGCACGGATCGGTGTACGTCTGCATCTGTCACAACTTCTCCAATGTGGGCATTCCCAATAGCACCTGCTGGACCCGATATAGCTTCTGTGTGGACCCAGCGCATTTATCGCTTGACCCATTTTAGGGGCATTCATGTGCAAAGGAGCACACTATAACTGTTTTGCACATTTCCGAGTACTGATTTACTCAAAGCACTTGGTCGGCGATGTGCAGTATCTGATTATGCGTAAAGATACTCCAACGTGAAACAGCGCCGGAAAAAACCCTTCAGTAATGATTTACACATTAAAAGAATCACTTACAAACTATGTTCATGGCGGGATTTGGACAAAATTTTGAGACTCCTGCCACCCTGCTTTCTTCAGGAGTTAAGCAGTCAACCAGGGGCATTAGATCA